TTATATCAAGTTTTTCTTTTATTTACCTGAGCACTTTTTTGTGGAAGCACGTGTCATTACGAATGTAACATTTCATTTTGATATGAATGTTAATTTTTGGATGAGGCGCGAATGTTGTTAGCCAATCAAACTAATGGATTCTCATAAAACATATATTGTAATTATATAAAAATAAGAAGATGTTGTATGATTGCCAATGAGACAACTCTCCACAAGACCAAATGACACTGAAATTAACAACTATAGGTCACTGTATGGCCTTCAACAATGACCAATAGTCTGTATTGACCTTGACAGATCCTGTTATTGAGACACAGAATGAGAAACACATACTATATATGATATATTGCCAACATCATTGTTTATTAAAGATGAAAGTTATATCTGATTTGATAGTAGTTTGCTTTGGCCTAAATGAAATAGACATATCATTGATAGATGTTAGATCTATTACACCTGTTGTTTTGTTTGTCATTACGAGCCTACTCATAGGTGGTCTTTACCCTCTAGAAAGCTTTATAGAATGACTGATAGTGAACTAAAAAAAATCATTTTGTTGGCTTTTTTTTAATTTATATTTTTTGCATGAATAAGAAAATCTAAGAAGTATGTTGTTTGTTCTTATGAGAAAAAAAAAGAAAGGGGAGATGTTAGACAGATTGGACTTTATTAGTATGGCTAATATCATATACATGTATAGATGAAAATTAAGCAACTGAAGCTAGCATTACAGTTTTAAGCAATGAGCCTTGACTCACAAAACAAGAACTATTATTCATTCACAGTTGAAGAAGACCTTATGAGGACTATCATTGATTGTTGAAGGATTAAAAGGACTTGAGTTAATTATTGAAATGGAAAGATTTGACTATTGTTAGCAGTCTTGTTAATTGTTGAGGCCTTCTAAGGACTATTGTTAGTAGCTAAACAACAGAAGCTATCATCCAAATCTTAAGCAGTAAACTCACAATAGATGGAGCATTAACTCACAACACAAAGAACATAAACTCACAACACAAGGAGCATAAATCAACAAAACAAGGAGCATAAACTCACAACACAGGAGCATAAACTCACTTACAACTAGCGTAAACTCACAACACAGAGCATCTACTCACAACACAAGGATTATTGTTCATTATTGAAGGCTTTATAAGAACTTTAGTTACTTGTTAAAAGGGTAAAGGGGCATCAACTCGCAACACAAGGACTATTGTTAATTGTTGAGGCCTTGTGAGGACTATTGTTAATTATTAAATGCCTATTAGAACTTTTCTTAATTCTTTAAGGCCTTACTAAGACTAAAAAAGTTAATTGTGAAGACCTTTTAAGGACTATTTTGTAAATTTTTTAATGCCCTAATAACAAAAAATTGGTGATGTCTTTAGTGATTTGTCAGGAAATAAAATTTAGATAGCACTAATTGTAGAAAAACTTGAGAACAGAAACAAATATGTTGTTTTGAGTACCGGATTCTTCAGTGCAAGTAAATATTTCTTATAATAAATTTATTGGAATTTTGAACGGTAGAGAAATAAATTGTTTATATTAGAATACAAATAGAATACAAAGTAGCAAAGTTACATGGTACAAAAAGCATACAGTTTACGCATTGTCATTTAATTGAACCAAGACAGTATATAAAACAAGAATAACGAAGTAGAAACGTCCACCATCATTTGATTAACGAGACTACATAACGGTTATAGCAAATCTTTATATTGGAAAATTTTCATTTGATATTTATCGGCATGTATTTCAGTCCTTTGTTATCATTAGTAGTTGAATAAAATGGGAGCCATCAATCTTGTGGATTGGTGTAGGTGGATGCCAACAGTATAAAGAATACTGTAATGGGGATATTTCATGTTATGGTATAAACTGTGACACTTAATATTCTATTCTTTCCTTTGAAAAATAATGGTCTGAAAAAAGTATCAAATATCTCAGTGCATAGTTTGTTTGTTAAAGGTTATGTAACACTTCTGTAAATGGAGTACAAAAGTGTTTTCTACCACACAACAGTTATTACAAGATCATGCTCTTTATTTCATGGCAATTACCATTCTAAAATAATTGACTGTGGGGTTCTTTATCATGTTTCAAGGACAAATGCAATAGGAGAATCTTAAATATAAAGAATGTTTTTATAGTCAAAACTGTTGTAGTGCTAAGCAGTAGTCAATTCTATGTAGATTGTTACAGTCATTTGTTTGGCTCCCCTGGGCTTGTCTTAGAAATTGGTTGCAGAATGTAGGTCATAGAGATGTTAATTCAGCAGCAACAGTGTTAGCTCTTTATCTAAAGCTGTATATTTTAGAAGGTAGAAGACCTGGATACTTCATATCTTGTATACAGATGCGAGTGCAGTCATCAATTTAAAGGTTCATGAAATGACATTTCCTATACAATTCATAGACTCATCATTCTAAAAAAACATTTCTGTTGCATCTACTCGGCAACTTTTATTGTTCTACAATACATTTCTTTTGCATTTTACTCAGCGACTGCAAATCAGAGCTGTTTGATATTTAGCACTAAGCTTCATACAGTGTGACACATTTTTAAATTTGTCAATTATATATACTTGACATATTCTTCACATAGTTTCATGTTTAAGAAATCTTCATCCCAGTTTTCTCAGCAACTGTAAATCAGAGCTTCTTGATATTAAGTGGTACCAAACTTCATATTGGTAAAAGAGAGGCGAAAGATAACAAAGGGATATTCAAAACAAACTGACAATGCCATGGCAAAAAACGAAAAAAAAACAAAAAAGACAAACAGCAGTACACAAAATTAAACATAGACAACTTAAGACTGAGCAATATAGGCTATATAATGTGACACATTTTCAGATCCATCACAGATTCAGTTCCTGTTTACTGCATACATGTATGTTCTTCACATTGATTTTCGTATACGAACTTTTTCGTTGCATTTATCTAAGCAACAATAAAACTGTGGTTCTCAAAATTTGGTACCAAGCTTTAGATTGTTAATCTATGCTGTGTTCTAATTTACTTATTTACTTTGTACTTTCTGTCGTCTGCTTCCTTATTGTTTGGTGTAGGTATTTCCTTCCACTCAAAAACAAGAGCAAGTGGATAAATTAATGAGTATTTATCTTGTTTTTGTATATTTTTATCCTGAAATTAATTAAAGGTCACCTCAAGATCTTTTATAAGGTAATTTTTATCTTTCTAAAGATGACCTCATAATACAGGTTTAACTCTGCTGATAACTGGAGGAGAAAGCTTTCAGTAAACATATATATCTAGTATAATAGAAAAAAGTAAAACAAAAAGGATGTTACTTGAAGCTAATCTGCTGTATTCAAACTTGACATTTTTGCTTTAAAGGAGATTTTGAAGCAATGCAATTCAAGAGATTTTCCTATAAACCATGATAATTGGTAAACAGGATCATGAAAATACTTTGATCATTATGATAAACATTATTATTGCATAATCAATGTATAATTAATATTGGGGCCCTACGAACACTCAATTACTGTGTTTGAAATTTAAAATCTTACAAATCTTATATGGTAACAAAACTTTAATACAAAAGAAGACAAGGTCAACATTTGTACCATTTTGAGCCTCTTCAGGTTTAATATCAATATTGATGCCTCTAAGCAAAATGGCAACTGCCAGGATTAGAAATTCACGGAGTGCCAAGGAAGATAACCTTCACATCATTTTTCAATGAAATGCTATATATGTAACAACTGTGTCAATTCATCAATTTCTCAGAAGGGAGTGATGTTTTTGGGTCGGAAGTGACACTGTCCATATGAATGGATCCTGTGTGTCTGACACAACTAGGTGTTAATTTGATCAAGTCTTCAATTCCTTCCAGATATTAGCAAAACTAATAAGGTTATAAATTATCAGAAGGCAATTAATTGATATGTCATGATGTTCAACTTATAAGTCTATATATATATATATACAGAAAATGGAAAATTGATTAATCTTATCTCTTCATGTATTGTTTTACATATCTTGGAAATTCTACATGTTTTTTATCAATTTTTATTCATGACATAATGTCCATCTATTAAATTATACTGGTAAGTATGTAGATGAAAAAAGAAAAATGTCTGATTAGGAAGTCCCTTTGCTATCAAAAATATAAACATAAGATTATCTCAAATTACATCTTAAACAAGTTGATAAAAAAATTCTGTTTGAAAGTTTCGCGATTTAATTCTTTTTTGTTGTTTAATTTAATTATTCTAGATAACCTTAAACTTAATTATAACTCAGTTCCACTGTACAGGATGTATTGTTTGCAACAACAACAAAAATAGTGTAATATATTTTAGTATGACCAGCTGATAGTATCACAGGCACTTTTCACTGCACATGAATTCTTTACTGATAATAAATGGGTCAGCTAAAAAGTACTCCCATCACTGATTAGCTACAAATGTTGTACTTATGTAAAAGTAATATATATATTGAGTTTGCAAATCCAATTAATTAGAAGCAAAAAAATGCATTGTATTCATTTTGAAGGAGATTCAATCATGTCATAAAATCTCTTAATGTCACATGAAATTGATTTCTGTTTATCAGCTGATCATGGTTACAGATGCTTATCTCTCCATTACCACAAAACATCTTGCTTGGGAAAAAGGTTGCACAATTTGATCAGAAAGGTGATTTGTATTGATTAACACAGGTAAAATCCTGGTTTATCATTGGTCGTCTAATTTTAACTGATCTGTGTATGTATGTTTCGGCTAGTGAAAGGTCTTATCATTAAATAGTTGTAGTGAAAGTGATTCATTCATATGTGCATTTTGGCACAGATTGGTGCATACAAAATTCCGGAAACTTTTAATTACAATGGACTCCTCGTATAAAATGGCCATTTTATATGTAAATGGTATCGTGTTCCATTAAAACTGGCCTCTGCTATAGGGTGGTATAGCTGTGAAAAGTATTGGTACATCATTCTAAGGAAAGTATTTTCTTGGTTTTTTACAGAAGGAAGCCTAGCTGATCTGCATGGATTTAACCAACAGATATTTCGTTTGAGAGATTACCATAGAAACAAGTTTATACAACAGGTAAGATTTCTTAACGATTCTTTCAAATTAACTTGAAAAGGCAAGAACATGTATTGTCATTGCCTGTAGTTCCCATGATAAAAGCTTAGGATTTACTGAAGTGACCCCTTGCTCACTTTTCTTTTTACAAAAGTTTTGCAATGAACTCTTCGAGTTTATTCCTGTATCTCTACTTGCGTGCCAGTTTGTACATTTCTGCCTGTGAAACCTTTTCACCTGCTTGATTAGGTCCTTTCATTCTTCTTCACATTTATGGTTTCCAATTCCAGCCAAAATCCCACTTTCATTATTTTAATGGTCAGGTCCATGAAATTGCGAGAAAGTGTTTATGCTTGGTACATTTAGTACGATACTAACTGGCTTTTTAGACTTGACTACTGGGTTTGTATCAAGTTATTGTATAGTTTGTAGGTCTTAAGAAAATAATTAATATTAAATATATACTATTTCTTCTTCTTGTAATAAGTTGTGAAGAAAAATATTAAAAGTTGTATGAAAATGTTGACAGAATTTATCATGTAATATCAGAAATATTATATAAGGTTGTATTCTGTATTTAGATTTTTTAATTCTCTATACATTTTATGACTGTTATGTTGACACTAGTGTTGTTTTGATCTAGTTTATCATTCTTAGTTCTTTAACTCATCATCAAAGATCTTAAATTTAATGTTAAGATGAAGAGCAGCAATAAAAATGCTGTTCCTTTGACTTGTGACTATTTCCTTTAAGGAACATTGTCTCGTATGCATCCAATCCAAATCTCCTTTTCCTTAATTTGTCTCATTTATGTAAATGCGCAATTAAATCTTTGTAATTTTCTTTGAATTAAAAGTGTAAGATACATCAGAAAAGGACAATTTTATACCATGCTTTGAACAAATATGTCTTCATTATCAGAACATATTGTGCAGTCTATAAAAAGGTAGTATTAAATAAATTAGCACTGAAAAAGGAATGCAGATCATTATTTGATGCACAATTTGACATTTACAAAAGGACACACTGTTTATTTGCAGTTTTGTAATCCAAAGTCATGGATTTGAATGTCAAATGATCATTGTGTTGACCTTATAACGGTAGTTAATCTGATCCCTAGAGGTATTAATTCTCTTTCCTACTTAATCTTCAACTTATGATTGGTGTCACATTGTCACACTGTGGTCATCTGGTCTTGACCTGTACTTTATTGATTTATTTTGTGTTATTCATCATTTTATTAGATTGACTTGTTAAAATGTTTATTTGGAAAAAGGGGCCTTATTCCAATAGATATAGGAAGATGTGGTATGAGTGCCAATGAGACAACTCTCCATCCAAGTTACAATTTATAAAAGTAAACCATTATAGGTCAAGGTATGGCCTTCAACACGGAGCATTGGCTCACACCGAACAGCAAGCTATAAAGGGCCCCAAAAAATTACTAGTGTAAAACCATTCAAACAGAAAAACCAACGGTCTAATCTATATAAAAACGAGAAACGAGAAACACGTATGAACTACATAAACAGACGACAACTGCTGTAATCAGATTCCTGACAGGTGCAAACATTTGCAGCGGGATTAAACGTTTAAATGGTACCAAACCTTCTCCTTTTTCTGAAACAATAGTATAACATCACAACATAGAAAAACACACTATAAAATATCAATTGGAAGGCTTAACTCAATCCAGTAACATTGTTTTGGGCCAAAAAATCCACAACTAGTATAAAATATAAATGTCATTTGAATATAAAAATAAGAAGATGTGGTATGATTGCCAATGAGACAACTCTCCACAAGAGAAAAAATGACACAGAAATTTACAACCCTTTTGAGCTCAAAATATAGTTAATTTTTTTGGGGAATTTCATTTGTGAAAATGGAATGGGTTTCCAATATATTCACCTACTTTAGGGACATATTTCTAATCTGTAAATATGTATGTGCTTTTTGCAATAATTTCAACTCAATAATGTGATAAACCTTTGATGATCCAAAAATGTGAGAGATGTTTTCTGTAAGCAGTATCATAAAAAATGTCTCAAATTGGTGTTTTTTTTTTATATGTTTGCTGAATCATATTATTTTTTTAATGATGTTATTTGTGGTGTGATATAATTTATAATTGTCTTATTATTAATATAGATATAATTATACTCCCACTCTCGTTGGTATACAGCATTCCTCTTGTCAGTCCGTCCGTCCATACTTTCTTCAATCAGTCCATCTGTCTGTACTTTCATCAATCAGTTCATCTATTTCATAACTTTCCTTTCATATTACTCAGCTTCTTTATTATGAAATGATTTGATATTTGTTCTGAATCTTTATAATATTTCATATCTGCCAGGCATATATACTCCCTGTTTAATGGGACTTGAAAATTTTATTATACAATGTACCCAGTGAGCAATCTCTAAACAATTAGTGAGGATGTACTTTGCACAACATTGTGAACAACTTTTTGTTTTGATGTGTTTACTGGTAGAAGAACACTTATAATGTTTATTTATAGGGAGGGAATATTTCTTTTAGAACATCTAGTATAAAACATACTACAAAGTTGTAGGGAAAAAGGACCTATCAATATAATGTAGAGTGGGTTCATATATTTTTGTTCATGAGAATCAAATTTTGCGAATTGATAAAAAATTGTATTTTCATGAATACTTGATTTCTTGGCTTTGACAAGTTCTGCTTACAAGGGACATTTTAGGATTTTTAATGTAATATGATAGTCCCTGTGGCTGTTATATATACCAAAGAAAGGACCATTGAAAAAGATAAGATAACTAACTAACACATAAATTGATGTCTGAACAAAATCTTTTATCGGCTGAAATTAGAGTGCTTTCTTTGAAAACAAAAAGAGCTTTGACTTCCCACAAAAAGACAAAATTTAAACTTATGAGAAATTTGTCTAGAAATCAAATGCATTCTTCTGGCATCTGTTGATAGTCATCTTAGGGTCCTAGCTGTTTTGGTCATTATTTCCTTTTTAACACTGGTAATGCAATCAGTTAGTAAATTGACCAAATAGACCTGATAAAACAATATGTAAGAATTGATTGGTATGTTCTTTTCCTTAGCTTTGGAATTATAGATGCTGTGAAAAAAGACAGGATATATCTTAATATTCATTAATCCTATTAGATGGGTAAATTGATAGATAGGTCTGTATTCTTATCTTTTATGAGACTGATGTAACTGGGTATTAGAGTACACCATTTGTCAAATTAAAGCCCTTGTAGTATTATATAATTTATACTACAATGATATTTAACCTGTTTAACCAGAATCAAAGCCTAGTTAACAATTGAACCCTGTTTAGCTTCAAATTGCTTGCTTATATTATTACATAGATATGATACTTAGTGGGCAAAATGTTGACGACTTTTACATTGTGTATGTAAACTCATTGGCCAGGTAGTCTTTTAGTAGTTGATCTACAATTATCACATGCCTATCAACACTGAGCTAGTAAGTTCGAACCTCGCTCTGGGCAGGTACTTTGGACTCCTATCTTAATTGACTAGAATTGCCAGTTTTCCTACTGAAGGTCAGGAGTTCTCTATTGGGGTACTCCAGCTTCTTCCGTCAAAAGAACTGACCATCAAACTAGCTAATCTTGTGCAAGGCCCTCAATGTGGTATTAAACACCAAAATCAATCAAGGTTTTCGTGGTTCACTGGTCAATGTTAAGTTTTCTTAATTAGATCTAATTTTCAGATCCTAGAAGAATAAGATAAAATATATTTGCAGTAGAGAATGAAGGTAAAGTGTACATTGTCTGTATAACTGGGTTATTTATGACCTTGACCTCATTTTCATGGATCATTGATTATATTAAGATTATGTGATGCCTTGATATAAAAGATTTCCAACATAGAATTCAATCATAGTTAGAAAAGGGGAGAGACATTTCAGTGTGTACACTCATTAACAAATTCATACCATATTTATAATTTTGGCAATACGAGAGATAATAGTATAACAGTCAGCGTTAAACGTACTTTGTCCTATTTATTTTTCCAGAATGTTCATTTCATATTTCAGCTGTGTTTCATCTTTATGGCTTTGTTGAAATAATAGAAACTCTTCTATCTAATCCACCCTTCAGTCAAAACATCAATTATGAGGATCAGCTATTTTAAGAATATAATGTATCTAATTTAGATTTTTGTTAAGTAACATACTCTAATAATCATGAAACAACAACCCTAAATGTTTATTTTGCATTCTTCTCTTTGTGTAAAATGGAATTAGATTAGTTGAATATACATGCATAGTTTGACTTTCAAAAAATAGGTCATTAAAATTATTTCTGGCTGGCAGTGAAAGAAACATGTTTAATAGATGAAATGGAATTTTATTTTTACCAGAAATATTATTATCTGGTAATTATGATAATACAAATTGAAGATGTTTACTAATACAATGTTCCCTCTCAGTCTGATGAAGGTAGAAAATTATTCTCTTGTCAGTAAGTTTTTTACTTGATCAAGTGGAGGTGTTTAGCCAATTAAAAATAACGGCAAGAAAGCATCACTAATAAATGGTTACTTATTCTATCAAAATAAGCAACAGAATTTAGCAAACTCATGGTAGCATGTGCATAATGACTGGTATAAACTAAAACCTGTGTTTAGTAAGATTGTAAGTAGAACATATATAGACTGGATTCAATAATATTCGTGAGATCCAAGTTTTCTTGGATTTCAGTGGTTAAGGTAAACCATGTTTTTAAATTTTCAATGAAGTACAAATTTTCGAATACGTGGGCAAAACCATGAAATCAAATATCCTGTGAAAAAACATTTTTCCCTATTTCCATGAAAACTGGTATCCATGAAAATGCAAGAATCTGCGGTACTAACCGGTTACTTAAATATGTGGATAGTGACTGGTAACTGGAACTGTTATCTTATTCCATTTGGCATATAATTTATGTGGATTCTGTGGCCAAGTGGTCTAAGTAGTCCACCTACTGTATCACTAGCCTGTCAACACTGAAG